AGACTTCCTAGGGAGGTGGTTGAGTAGCCATCCCTGGATGTGTTCAAGTATTGTTTAGATGGGGTGTTGGGTGATATGGTTTAGGGGTGACCTTGTAGTGTAGAGTCAATGGTTTGACTTGATGATCCCAAGGGTCTTCTCCAATCTGAATTGTTCTATGATTCTATGATTCCATGACTTTCACTCTTGGTGTCTTTGCATGTTTTCTGGTAAGATGTAGCCAAATTTTACTTCTTCACCGAGGTTTGGCTTCTTTTCCAGGGACATTAACACTATCAAAGAATAATCTCATCTCCAGCCTTATCCAATGCATGAAACTGGGACAGTTTCTCACTTTACTCAGCCTCCTCTGTGGCTTCAATAAGAAACAAAAAAACCCTCCACTTTCCCTAATATTTGGACTCCATGATGGTACAATAATTCATCTGACTCATGAGCCATTGAATTTTGCTCAAAAAGGATCGACATCTACAAAAAGGTTTTTAGATGATGGTTTCACAAAGAGTTTGCCTGTAAAAAAACAACTCACAAGACAGGTGTTTGGAATTTGAGCGTATGAGTTCACATAAGTCATTTGTGTCAAGATTCCAAGCAATAAATAAATCAGCATCAGTCACTCTTAAACAGTATGGGTAGAGGTCAAACCACCCTTCATAGCTCCTGGTTCATCCTCTGAGTTACCTAACTTCTGCTGCATTCAATTATATAAATAGTATAACCACTGAGTAACTTACCTGAGAAAACTGAGCAAAACTGGGGTCAGCAAAGAGAGGCACGTGTCCTAGCAGCTCATGACAAATATCACTGCAGGAAAACATGACATCTGAATAACTTTAATTTAGGAAAAGTCCAGCAATGCTGGATGAATGGCCTAGAGTCAGCACGTAGTAAGGAGTGCAGTGTATTTTCTCCTACCAGCAAATAATGCTCAAGACTCATGAGAAACCATTTTGCTCTAAAATTATTCTTGTGATGGAGATGCTTGCCCACTCCAGAGTTTTCAGTACTTTTATTATCACAGATCCCTCAGAGGATCAATGATATGTTACTTGGTTTTTGTTACGGTAGAAAACCATTCACTCAACTGCCCACCCAGCTCAGGAAAGTGCAGAAAATTCATCCCACCATAGAGAACACAGACTTTGCAGTCTCAAGGACAAGAAACATCTTTAGATGAACCTCAGGTTACTAAGACAATTCACTGTGGTGTCAACATGTACCTCAAAAGTTCAACTCCAATCCCTTTTCAGGCCCACAGCCTCAAAGCTTGCCCTATTTTCATCATAAGCTGAAGCTGGCAGCTGGAAAGGCTTGTTGGGGACAGCACTAACCTAGGGGCTGGTAGATTTTTCAAAGATAGAGAAGTGGTTTGGTGAGATTGAAAGTGGAGAGGAACAAGATGCTCCCAGGAGGGCCAGGCATGTAGAAGACATTTCAGCTTGGCTTTGTGCAAGATGAGGTGAGCAGCGGCAGGAAGGAAAAACAGAAGAATGAGGGATAGAAAAATGGAGGGCAAAAGAAGGTTGTGGGAAGAAGTAGAAAGCAAATAAATGGTAAAGGAGAAGGAGAATCATAGGGATAATCTAGTCCAATCTTTCTGTCAAAGCAGGATCACCTAGGGCAGCCACACAGGAACACAGTCAGGTGGGTTTTGAAAGTCTCCAGAGAAGAGGACTCCACAATCTCTCTGGGCAACCTGTTCCAGTGCTCTGTCCTCATAGTAAAGAAGTTACTCCTCATGTTGAGGTGGAACTTCCTATTCTCTAGCTTGTACCTATTATTCCTTGTCCTATTACTGGGCACCACCGAAAAGAGACTGGCACCTTCCTCTTGACACCCACCCCTTAGGTATTTATACACATTAATAAGATCCCCTCTCACCTTTCTCTTCTGAAGCTGAGGAAGAAATCTGTTTTGAAAATGGCAAGTGGAAAAGGACAATGGACAGAGAGAAATATTGCAACAGAAAACTGAATAAAAGAAGGGATCAAAGATACGGGTTTCCTCTACGTTGCTGCCAGAAGCTTGCTTGCAACTTGTTGAGTCATTTCTGTGTTAGAGTTCACATCACTTCCTGGGTGCTAATAGCTAACCTAAAAGCCTTTGTACACTGCTCTCTTGCATGCCAGCCACCATGCAGAAGTACTTTATCTATCCCATAAGAACTTCCAGAAGATGCAGCTTGTTAAAAAGACTAGAAATCTTCTAAAAATGTTTTCAGAAGAGAGCAGTCTCTTGGCCACTCTATATTAGCTCTGTTCCTAAGAGCCCACCAGAGTCCCACACAGTCATTACCAGTTGGGATGACCGTGCCATTAGCCTGCTGTAACTTTATCCACTTCCTGTGCTGAAGTACTTACGGCTCTGGTGTGTACATGGGTTTGGATGCATGGCGAATATATTGTGTAGAGTGGAATACTCGGAACGCCAGCCCAGCGAGGAAATCCCGAGAGGAAAGCAAGCCTGCAACAGGACGCAGGCGAAATCCAGTGCAGGCTGAAAGGATAAAAAAAAAATGACATCTTTAAAACAGCTAGTGTGTCTGATTTATCCTTATCTGGACTCCCTAGAGTGGAAAAAGTTTGTTAATTATTTTCTTGGCTTCTTATGTTAAACAGAGTTTAACTGTGAAAATTGTCTCCTCATGTATAGGACCATCGCAGCATCTCAGCATCTGTATCATTGTACACTTGGAAGTTTTAGAAGGGAGCCTGAGACACAGGCTAAGTGACATGCCCAAGCACATAGGGAGCCTGCAATAAAGCAGGGATGGCTTTTCCGTCTCTGGAAGTATCATCCCTACTGACAGCTGGGGTCTTTCATTTGATTTGGGTTTTTATATGCTTCAAACTTACTCTGTAAGAATTTTGAAATATCTTCAAGCTGGGGAATGTTGTCCTCCCTGTAGCCGCAGTACTTCTCCAACAGTGGGAACACATGGTTGTGTTCATAACAAGCATGAGTTGGATAGAGACTCTTCAGCTCCCTGAAGACAGTGCCCCATGTTTTCTTTTCTTCTTCTGTGTAGGTGACTCGAGGAATAGGTTGGCCACTGGAAAGAAAATGGATATCCTCCAGAGGAGTGACAGAGAAAATGTCCTGTGGACCAGTATCACACTCAGCAGCTTTACATGGGTTAGCCAGGATCTGCTGGTGCAGGAGGAGAGATGTCTTTGGTCTGATGTGCAGGTGAGAAAGGAGCCCTGCTTGCCCCTAGGCACAGGCTGGGAAGCACTCTATTGACCTCAGCTGAGATACTGGTTTGCATTATTGTGGTAAAAATCTATTAGTGCTTATTTATCTTTTAAAGGTGTTCTTCTAAAAATATTTGCTGGATGTTGGTTTCGATTTATTTGCATTTCTAGATACAGAGTCACTGTTGTATTTCTTGCTTTAATATAGATTATATTGATGGGTTTTGTTGCAATGGGGAAACCATCAGCTCCAGAAAACTGTTTTTTGGAGGGACAGAGAAATTCTGATCTATTCTTTATGCAGTAACAGATGCAGACTCCAGTCAGTTCGACTTTTTATAATTGTAATGGGTAATTTTGAGTCAAATCCCACCCTCAGGCCTCCATGTGCTTAGCTCATATTGAATCTACCAGGAATTAGACAATCACAAGCAATGTAGTTTGGCCTCCTGTGAATAGTCAATTCCTTGGCAATAATGATAGGGCCATAGGTGAATCCAGCAGCTTTGAAAAATCAAAGGGTTTTAAGTAACTTAATAGGGTTAACATCACTGCTGCAATAATGCTGGAGATTTCCAAGCCCCAGAGACCCATTGTTAAACTCTTGATGACACCCCACAATCTCCCACTCACTGATTTTTTCCTTGAGCCTCAGGGCAGCTCCTCTGGAGCACTATCATTTTCTGTTTCTCTGTATCAGCCCTCCTTGATCTGTGGAGCTTTAAAAATCATGTTGAATTATGAGGATTGCTGGGGGATTGTTGTTCCTATAGCACCCCTAAGTAATCCTCAACCACCTTTCAGGGCTACAGGGGGAAGCTATAGCTTAAAAGCCTTTCAAATTTCATTTAAAAAATTTCAGGGATCAACAGAGCCAGAAGCAAAAGAAGGCAGAGGGAAGAGGCAAGATAAAAGCAAAGAAAAGAGAAGTCAGTGAAAACTAAGCATTCAACAAAAACAATGGGTAAATGTATAGTGAGAGACGGGAAAAATGCAAAGGCAGAGTGGAGGGGCAAACAGCAGGAGGAAAGAGGACAAAATAGGTGCAAAAGAAGGGGCACAGAAGATGATGTAATCGGTGGTGTGAAGAAGAGTACAAGACAAGCAATCACAGGCTCAACTCACCTTTGTAGCTGGGTAGCACCTTCACAAGCTAAGCACTTTTGCTTTTTCAGATACTTCCCATGAAACCTGATAACTTTGGCCCTCTCTTCCTGCCCGGTTCTCTGCATTTCTGTCCCTCATGCTGGAGACATCCCTTGAAACTCTCCTCCTCACTGTAAACTCTGCAAGGCATGTGTAGCAGATCTAGTACCCAGGACAAAGATGTCATAGATCCACCTGGCTCTTCCTGAATCAACCTAAAGTCACAAAGAACACATCCTGTACTTTCCATGTTCCCCAGAAGCCCAGGTGTGGGCTTTCATATCCTATTTACTGCTCTGTTGCTGAAAGACCTAAATGGAAAGCCCAAGAACTTTCACATAAAAGATGTTTTCAGGAGATAGGTCCAGGTCTGTATTGCCTCTTCTTCAAGTGTGTCTGAGGATCTGGATAACAGATTAAATATTAGTTGCATCTTGGAATATAATGGTTTCATCTTCCAAGGTTTCAGTTTAAATTTTGAGAGGAAAGGATGGTTAACAAGTTTTTTGTTTGATACCTATGTAGGATTTGGTGAAAGCCTGCAAACTAGAAACCAGAACTTGTTATCCATTATATAGGAGAGGTAAACCTTCTGTGACATACCTACAAATGGGCATTAGATCCATCGGACCACAAGGTCTTACCCAAATTTTCCAGTCATGAGCTGGGCTTCTGACAACTTTCACCTGACTTTTTTCACTTTCTGTCATAGAATCATAGAATGGCATGGGCTGGAAGGGACCTTAGAGATCATCTAGTCCAACCTCCCTGTCATGGGCAGGGACGCCACCTCTTGACTAGACCAGGCAACACATGGGGACCGAGCGGGAATCGAACCCGCGACCTTGGTGTTGTCATTGTTGTCAGCACCACACTCAAACCACTGAGCTAACTGCCCTCCTCCCTTGTCTCTCCTTTTCTGTTTAGATTATCAGCTCTTTGGCTCAGTGACTATCTTTTCACCACAGTCCTGTGCAAAGTGGAGTCCTAAATGTACAACATATGTTACTTTAGCCTTTGCAACCACAATTTTTACCAGTCTCAGCAAGAATCAGGTCCTGTAATACTGATGTAAATGCTTGAGTGGCTCTGGGACCAGAATTTCATCTCCTCCAGATCTGATCACCGAAAGCAATCAAGCAAGCCTGTTCTAACTGAATTTATCACCTCCATTTATTTTTCTTGGGAAATGAGAGCCCAAATTACTGATTGCAGCTGGGTCAGATATGATAAAAGTAGAGTATCAGGCACTGGATTAGCATGAGAACTATAAGTTATTCATTATATTAATAGTGTATGCAGCTCCTGCTGTAATGTAAATGATAGGCACTCCTCCTCCAGTCCTGGTTTAACGAGGAGAATACCAGAAACAGCTTTATTCAACACTCAGGTCTTTGTAGCAGCAACAGAGTCTGCTGTTCAATTAGACAACAAAGCTGGGGAAGAGGGCTGCTGTGGGGAAAGGAGGCGACGTTTTCTTCTGAACGTGTGCCTGGAACAATTTACTTTTGTTTTACTGTGATTGGGGGATAAATACATGAACAGGAAGATTTAAACACATGACAGAGGAAAGCCCAACAGCAAAAAGCTTGTGGAAAAATAAGGATTGCCAGCAGGGTGAGAGCCCTAGGGGAGGGCAGGAGATGCAGACTTGCTTTCTGCCCACACACTGAACACTCACTGTCTGTAGTTGTAAGCAATATCCGCAAACTCCTTCCTCCGGGCCCGGTACACAGGATCTTTGAACCCCTAAAGAGAAACAGTGATGGTCAGTCCCTGTGTAAGTACAAGTGGTGAACAGCCTTCCTCTCACTGAGCACCCTCAGGCTTAGCTGGTGCAGTCCGAGAGGTGCAGGAGGGAAACTGGGGAAGGTGCCTTCATCCTGCCCAGCTCCACTCACACAGGGCACTGCTCCTTCCCTGTCTGCAGGGCCACCAGACCAGCCACCAGAGCAGGTGGCTGGTGAGCACTTCTCACCCTTCAAGTCCTCTCATTTTTCTCATTTCCACTTGCTACAAAAAAAAGAAAACATATTCCTTCACAGTGCCAAGAAGGTGCTCCCACAAAAGAATGCACTGAATTAACGGCACTCAGATAATCACGTCCTGGTTTCTCATGAAGTTCCTAAAGTTGTTGTGGCTCCTGACGCAGCTGGGCTGATCTAGAGGAACAGATTTAAAACACATTAGAAGCAGGCTCATCAAGTCAGTCAGATTTTCGCCATGAACCATGCTTAAAGGTGCTCATTTTCAAACTGTTAGAAGAGCAGTAAGCACTTAACAGGCTGAAAAGCCCTATTTGTACTACAAATTCAACCATTTGAAGGCATTTAGACAGAGAATGTCTAATGGACCTTATAGTTGGGATCTTGACCTTTGCAGCTTATTACCAATAAAACCAGGGATAAGAAATACAGTCACTGAAACTTCATCTAGGATAATCACAGAATGTCAGGGGTTGGAAGGGACCTCAAAAGATCATCTAGTCCAGCCCCCCTGCCAAAGCAGGATCACCTACAGTAGGTCACACAGGAATGCGTCCAGGTGGGTTTTGAATGCCTCCAGAGAAGAAGACTCCACAACCTCCCTGGGCAGCCTGTGCCAGTGCTCTGGCACCCTCACAGTGAAAAAGTTTTTCCTCATGTTTTTGTGGAGCCTCCTATGTTCCAGCTTGTATTCGTTGCCCCTTGTCCTGTCATTGGATGTCGCTGAAGAGAGCCTGACACGGTCCTCCTGACACTCACCCTTGACATATT